GTACTGGCAGACCGCTGAAAAGAGTACCTTAGAACAACTTAAGTCAACTTGCAATCGTACTGCTCAATTAAAAAAAACCAAAACAAAACAAAAATACAAACATGTTTTACATCAGACATTGCAAATTACATTCCGATTTCTGCTCCCGGTAATGAAGGAAGACATCTTGTTGGTTACCACTGCGCGTGCGGGTGGCATTTCAGAAGCTAGCACGGCGTTCCCCTCTAACTCCTTGTGGGCAGGGTTAGCTCTGTGGGAAGGGGCAGATAAAAAAGGGGAGTACACGCTCTGCTCCCTACCAGCAGGGCCCTGCCAAAGGGTAGGCAGAGCCAGAAGAAGATTTGCGATCAAGTGATAAGGTTAATGCTGGATCACCGCTCGTCCCGTGTGATGCTGCAGCTTTTGGAATTAAGCAGTTCGTTAAAACACTCCCTCTACAGCTAAGCCACCTCCCGCCTCCCTTGCAAGTTACAGTACTTTGGCAACATCGGCTAGGAGAGAATTCTTGTCCGTACGGTAACGCATACTTCAGCTTCACCTTAACGTATGCAGGAAGAGCACAGAATCACGCTTTGATGTCTCTTCCTGCTCAGCGCTTCACACCTTGAGAGCTTGTGACCAGTCATGCTGAGAAGTGTTTACTATTAAATATAACAAATTAGCAATAAAAAGGACAGATTTGAGGGAAAACAAGAGGAACAGGATTCAGCAACAGATTATGTTCTTGCGGCGTCGGGTTACTTACACTTGAAACTCTGCCAGAACCGAGCAAATCCTACTTATCATTGCAAAATCTTCGCCAAAGCACACCCAAGGGCAAAAGTCTCTCAAACAAACGTACGTAGATTAAAAGCTGCCAGGAAGACCAGCTAGCGGGCTCGCTGCCTTCCACTTCTTGTACACTGGCAACTTATTAGATCAAAAGACAACCAAGTCCGACCCTTTCCAGGCACGGGATAGTCCTATGGTGTTTTACCTGAGCAAGTCTTCAGCAACTTCTAATGCCCCACAGCGAGGTCGCTTTACGCTTTGTCCCGTCACCAGCTCTGACGTACTTAACTGAGAAATTACCTTACGGAACGCGACGCAGCGGCTTGGGAAGCCAGCCGGACTGCGTGGCAAGGTAACCAAATGCAACTTGAGAGTAAGGACTGCTTTGTTGTTTGGTTTTGTTTGTGGGGATTTTTTTTTTTTCCCCTCCAACAGGCTAAAACACCTTCAACCTGATTTTAGAAGCAGGCTAATTTATATGGAGAAATATCCCAAGTGTTACACTCAGGAAACAAATCCTGGGCATAGTTGTGTCGAGAATTTCTTATGCAGAGTATTTTGAATGACAAGAAGTGGTATGAGCTGATGACGCTGCTGCAGGAAAAAAACACTGGGGTTTTGGTGCTGGGGTTGCAGCAAGGCCCCTACCAAGCCTTCCTCCTCCAGCTACAACCTCTTACGCTACTTCTGCTGATGCCCACGAAAAGCCTGTCCAAAGACGAGGGGATGTGGCCTAAAGTGGATCATGTCTTCAACTAGGAAGAGGAGAAGAAATGGATACTAAAATGACTTTTTGAGCTTGGAAGGGTGGCAAGTGAATCATAAAATATAGCACTCCTCGAAAAATGAGATAATCCTCCACTGGCAAAGGTGAGCTGGAAGATCCCATGGAAGCATTGCTGCGTTCCCGGGTATATGGTAGTCTCTCAGCAGGGAACTCCCAACTGTACAGCAAAGTTAGTAGGTACAAAACAGCAATACCAAATTTGCACACAAATATTCTCTCTCGATATGGGAAAGCAGCTAAAATTCACAGAAACTCAGAGAGATCATGGCCTATATCAGAACTAACGAATGCTCTGTTGCTGTTTACGTACAGATAATGGCAATGTTCAAGTGCCACGTCCCCTGCTTTTGGTGGAACACAGCAGAAATGGGAACAAGTTTCTGAAGCCCTGGCATGGAAAAGGCAGCATACGAAAAGTGTCCATAAGCACATCTTATGTATTAGACATTATCCAACCAGAAACACCAGAGATCTACATTTCTGCCTAAAAATTATCTTTCCCACATTTGCTGAGATTTTAAGTCTTCTCGGAGTCAGTTTTACCAGCTCTCCAGCCTTACAGCAAAGACTTAATCAAAAAGCCAGTGCTCCTCGCATTAAGAACTAGGATAAATGTATAGATCTCGAGATCAAGTCATAAACCCCCCTTTACATCTTAAAGGGGGGGAGCGGGGGAAAAAAAAAAAAGGTCACGAGTATCCACCCGTCTTTGTACATTACCTACACATTTTCCATTTCAAAATACTGCCGTACACTTACCCTTGAATACGAAAGTTAAATTGATTACAAATAGGACCATCTGGTTTACGCTTTATTCTGCCCAAAAATAAAATACCACAAATTTGCACTGTGCTTCGTATTTTTGCTTTTACGTCCCACTGAACTCATCATTGAATGTACACGTTGAGAAAGAAAATGAGCTACCTCCTTCCAAAGGAAAGCGTTGTTATAGATACACTGCTTTGTAAGAGCCAGGACAGCGGGTCCCCTGTGCTGACAGCAGCACGGCGCTCTCGGTATTGTACGGAGGAGGGTTATATACAGTCCAGCTCGTAGCCACCTCCACTCTGAACTTCAAAACACCAGTTGCTACTCAAGAAACCTGGGTATGTTACGAGTTCAGAAAAATCTCACGTTTCCATACAGTGTTGAGTCTACTCTTCCCCTTCTGGCAAGCAGCATGTTTATGGCAGACCTGAGTATGGGAATTATTTCACACCCTTACATACTTCGGGAAGATATAGGCCAGATGACGGAAAATACTCTGAAACAGCACAGAATTGGCAATCTCAATATATTTACAGGCAAAGAAGCATATCGCACCGTAAGTGAAGTTATTGCTTCTTGTGGACAAGTGTGGCATTCCTTGATCAAGACACAAGACTCGTTAGGTGTTTATTTTCCCCTTCTGAAGCACAATGATTCAGGACCACAGTGAGGACGTTTTTAAAATGAAGGTGTTGCCTATGACTAGAGCTATGCCTGCAGCATGGTCATGGCCAGCTGGCCAGCACAGCTGGTGATAGGAAGCTTACATAGGTGAATTTCCACAGGCGATTTCAAACCCAAGCATCACTGTCACGCTTCCAGGGTCATTCTAGGCTTGGTCTCTATTACAGGTTTTGATACAAGACAACCTCCCATAGCCTTTCAGAAGAGATTTATGGGTACCAAAAATGCCAAACTAGGATCTAAGGCTGACCTTGTATCAGTTCCTCAAATAATCCGAGGTATTGCTCCTCTACTGTGCCGATGGAAGCAGCAACAGACTCTTGCCTGCAAAACCACGCATCAGTGCGATTGCTAGTGGCAATGCTTTTCAAACACTGGTCCTAAATGTAGGACAGCAGTGATAACTGCTGGGTCTTTAAACCAGCTACTTGCATCTGAATACAGAAAATTAAGGTTTTGGGGAAAAAAAAACAGTAAATGAACTAGAACTATGAACTACTGAAACTGAGCTTAAGTTGTAAACAGATTTATAATATTTACCTACTTAACCCCCAAGCCAAAGACTATCTATGACCTCGGAGCACAGGACACCAAACGCTTACCTACCCCCTTTACTTTATTACAGGTGAGTTTCTGTAGGCTTGAAGCCAACAGTAAACATTAAATCAATGCAAATGCAAAAGCTTTACTTTCAGAAGACAGCAGGCATTTAAAACATTGGAAGAGTGGGCCTGCAGGCAACACCGATACTCGAGTATTACAGGTGCTGGAATTTTTATCCCCTCCCTCCCCCCCATGATAATACAAGGCAACACAAATATTCTCCGCTAAAAAGGAACCTGTACAGGGAACAACTGTATATTTGATGTGACTACAGAATTGAAAGTGTGACAAAATGGTTCTGCTCCCACTGAAAAAGAGACTACAACGGGGCCCCATAGTTATAGGTTCAGCTAAAACCAGTGATGCAAGCCCAAAAATGTAGAAACTGCACCAGCGATTATCTAGTTTGGACTCCTTTAGATTTGCAGCATAACAAAGGCGTTTTGCAGAGCAACATTCAGGAGAAAATATTATCCAGGCAAGAATTGCTCTGCAAGCAAGATAGGAGAGTTTAGTAACATGCACTGCACTTGTTCTCCAGATAGCAGCAATTGCTCCTGTTCTTTGCCCTTTTTGATATGAATCACAGTAGCAACAGAGAGAAATATGTACTTAAACAAAATAAGAAAAGCAGAATTATGTATGTACAAGAAAAATGTTCCAAGTGTTGTGCAATTTATTTTAACCATTGAAACCCACTAAAAATGCTGTTGCTAATAAATATTCATAAATTCTTCCCTGTACTGTGAAATTCAGAAACTACTACAATTAATTCTTGATACAAAAAGTATGCTTCTAAGCCCTGATATATCTGTTCCAGTTTATTGTCTTTTTTCTGTCTCTTTTTTTTTTTTGAACTGTGATACTTTATGGGAACTAATACTTAGCCACAGTTTTACTTGGTGTTACCCCCCCAGAGACATCCTGTGTTTCATGGAGCCCTCGTTATACCAATATAATACAGTAAAATAATAATAAATTAAACAAATGCAGGTGCATTTTTTTAAAAAAAACAAACCACACTGTCAAATGCTGGTCTCCACATGAAGAGACCAAGGATTTAGATGCAAAGTACTACAGATCCTGCCATCAAAAAAACATTCAAACAAGGAAACAAAAACTTGCGCTAAGTGTTTTAAAAATTAAACACAAATCCCACCTCGATGTTATCTCACCCATGCCTGTAAAAATCCCTCTTGCTGTGCCCACATTTGCAGTTATTCATTTACACCTCAGGAGGCAGCCTGGAGATGAGAGTAGTACAATAAAATAATTACCTGAAACATTTTTAAAAAAATACCCGTTAAACAAATTACCTTAACTGGCAGCACTTAAAATTGGTAATTCTTCTTTTTTATCCTATTTAAAAAAAAGTTGCATAGCTGTAAGATTTTGCTTTGCTGCATTTTTTTTTTTGTTGTTTTTACTCACAAGCAGTAGAAGAGAAGTTTTAGTTAAATAGCAATACAATGTGCAGATTTCAACAATCCCTATAGCTTGATCAATATAAATTAGTTACCTGTCTTGGTTTTACTCTTTGGACTGCATTGTGACAAAGGTTTAGTTACAAAATTTTGAAATATAGTATTCCTATGCAGAGAAGTTTATGCTTTCTGTTCTTGAAAAAAGTGAAGAACGTAAAACAGGGTGTGAATTCAGTAAATTAAGGTCACACTGTTATATATTGAGTTTGCCATTTACTCTCCTTCAGCCAAGGAGAAGGTAAAAACGTTCCCACTCCAACCCGGGGCCATCCTCCTGCAAGGGTCTCGGACAGCACAGGTCAAACTTCTCCGCTTCCACTTGAGGCAGTAGGAAACGCGTCCAATAAGCCGCTCCTTCACAGAAAAAGAAGTTAGGCTGAAAACAGGAACTTTGGCCTTCGATACAAAACAGCGTCAGTAATGTCTGTGGGGAGTCGATTGTTACAGAATGTGCAGCATTTTCAAAATCCCTGTGTGTCCTTTACGTGAGTGTTTGGTATACTGAGCACTACTGGCAAGTAACTGGTGTCTGCAATGCTTTTTCCATGTCACTGTCCATCTTTGCCTTTTTCAGCCACAAAGAACTGTAAGTCTCAAGGCAGGCACGCTGTGTTCAGCAAGGGAACCTCACATCTCCTACGTTTTCTGATCAGTGGAAGCAGCTGTTGAGAAAGCAGAAGACAAAACCACCATTATTTCAGCTATTATTTCAGTATATAACACACTAAAACAGCATGAGCACAATCACCAAGTTTTTCTTCCCCTTTTCCCTAAGCCCCAATTATCACCATCTCTGCTGTGGAAAAAAAAGAAAATTGGATATAACATGAGGTTAGACAACCATGTACAGAGACAAATGTCTCCATAAACAGCATGTGGGGTTCTTCCACAATTCAGTTGTTAGGGGCAATATAAGAAATGTGTTTTAATTTTTGCTAACACTGCCCTGAGGTTAACATAATTATCCCCGTAGCAGGATACCTTCCTTCAGGTTTTCCCTGCCACCCCTGAACAACCAGAGCACTGCAATGTGACTTGCAACACAGACTCTTGAAGCAAATGAACAAATAAATGCCAATGATGAAGTCTTCTGATTTTTTTTTTTTTTAAATTTCCATCAGAACAGCAAAACCAGACCCTCAGCTACCAGCCAGAATTTCAGATATTTCCATTTCTTTAAGAATTGTGATGATTGTTGGTGTATTTTGCAATGCTTACGGGCAGTAGTTTAATGCAAGATAAAGTTTTTGAACCAGTCAACTAAAAGAATAAACCTATCCTTTCAACCTTTGACACTGATTGCAGATCTGAAATCATTAACACAAAACATAAGCTGGAAAAATGTGAACCTCTGTGAGATGGGATGAGAGACAGATTAACATTTTTTATTTATTTATATACTTTGAACATTCTGGAATGCATTAACATGAAAGTGGTTTTGAAAATACCTAGCTCCAACTTTTTCATATGATTCCAAAAGCTTTCCGTCAGAAATAAATGCCAGTACTTGTGGAACAATCCAAAATTACACAATTGTATTCTTTTAATTTTGTTTCATTTCCATGGAAAAAATGCTCTTTAGACGTTAATGTCAAAGCTTTATTGGCACTGACTTGCCACTTTCCAGTACTAAAACTGGAATACATAATTTCAGACCATGCCATATAAGGATGCAGAAACCTTTTACATATTGCAATATACGTCAATACTTCCTGATTAATATTGCAGTTCTGAGACACAGTAGCAAACTCATAAATAAAAAAAAATAGCATAAAAGGTTTATTCAGATAATCAAGATATTTATTGTTGAAATGTATGTATCTAAAAAGAAATATTACCTAAAAACATGAATCTTGTCTTAATCTGATGGATGCTCAGGGCAAGATCTATTTACTTCAAACCATTCATCTATGCAGCTGTTGGATGCAAGACAAAAATCAAAACAATTGACATGAATATCTCAGTAACATTTAGCAGTAAGATAGGAACATAAACTAGTTTCTCTGATTTCCACCACTAGTAGGATTTTATATTATACAAAGAAGTAGATGCATATATACACATCATTGGAAAATGTAATAACCCCAAACCACAGTAATATTTGGATATTAAACACTATTGAAAACCTAAATTTCCTAAGTTTTAAAATCTTCTAAGGAAACATTTTACAAGCTACTACCCAGGTTTTATACACAGATTACTTCACTACTAACCCTTTCATCTTGTTTATATCATTCATTGACATTTTACTTCTTGTAGTAAGAGACACTTGTGAAAACAAATACGAAACAGGTTTTAAAAGTGTTCCCCCCTCTCCCCCCCCAAGTCTATTAGCATTTGACAAAACTTAAGGACATGCAACCGAAGCTCCCTAGCCATGATGTGCTTCCCCATACCTGTGATTTTGCCTTATTTTCCTTGTGGGCTTTTCGTGCAAGCATGGGAAGACTACAGTAGGGAAAACTGACTTCAAATACATTGGTGGAGATGCAGAAAGATGTCATTTTAAAAATGTATTTCAGGTTGCTGCTGTTGTTTCTTTTTTGTTTGTTTGTTTTTTAAATGTAAGAAGCAACTAAGTTTCAGTGCTCCTTTAGGCACCCCTTAGAGGAGTTACCCAATAAATGCAACCTCCTGGAATTTTATATGCATCCTGAGGAATACTTGCCCTTTATGGTATATGCAGAGGCAAGGCAGCCGTGCTATAGTATCTCCTTGCTGCAACTCTTCCAGGCATATTGCACACTCCCCAGCATCTTTACTCAGCACATCCTCTGAAGAAAGAGCACAAAGTTAAACAGTTAAAAAGCGGACTACTACAAGCAAAACACTCTTTATTCAGAACATCAAGGTCAGCTACAGAAGATACTTCTTGTCCTGCAGAAAGCCATGTCAAGGTGAGGATCGGTCATGCTTACACCAGCTGACTGAAGATTCCTGTTGGGAGACATTTTAACAGCTCAAATTAAAATATTGTTATGATTCAGCTTCTTGCCTGAACACAGCTGTACCTCAAAATGAACTCCTGTAGAAAGACACCCATATGGAGAAGAGGGGTAGCTGGTACCCTCTGGAGTTTATACTCTCTCAGCAGGGCCATACCATACCACACAGGGTTCTCTGATCTGACCTCAGAAACCTGTGCTCTAAACCACCCAGCTGCAGCAGACACATGCTGTGCTGCTGACCCCAAGAGCTAAGCACTGGAGAACTTGGGTTCTTCGTACAGATGGTACGTAATGCCTCCGGGGCTTTGAGGATTCATCCTGGGTGGGTTTTTTTTAGCTGCACCTTCTTCCCCATGCCTGGTTTTCACTATGGAAGTTAAGTTCAAGCCTAAACATAACATTTCTTTGGACAGGACACTGAAGGTAATTAACCAGGTAAAGATCTTCTTAACTTCTAAACACTTAGCCTATCACTAGCTTTTTCTATACACTTCTATACATCTATACTTCTATACCTCTGGCTTTCTTTTACCAGCCTTTCCAGTACTCATATTTCATACCTTCAACTTCCTCTTCTCACCATGTCAGCATGTTCTACCCATCCCATCCACCTTTTCCTCAGCGTAAAGTATGCAAGTGTTAGCAATAGGGGTGGGAGCTTTCCATCAGGGAAAGATCAGTGCTGTATAGCTCCAATGACCCTAAGTTCCTGGAGATACTGAATTTTTTGCAGCGTTACCAAGTCTCATAACAAAGGAGAAGAAAGTAAGTTACTAGGAATGCACAAGAGTTGGCTTTCACACAGAAGTTTCTGGGAAAATATAGTATTTTTAATAAAAACCTTCTCTCTTGGACACTTCTCTTACCCAGAACGTGGGATACAGAATTCAATCCTAGCACAAAGCAAAACAGGAGATCAGATAAGGCTCAGTTTGCCAGAAGCAGGTTAAAAGTCTCAGTTAGACGCAACCTCACACAGTGCACAGAGCATTCCCAACACAGGACCACGTAGCAACCAAGCTGGCAATCTCTGGCAGATCAGGAAGGTGCACTCTTGGCAGTGTGAAGCCCACATGTTCAAATGTCCACAGTTTCATGGGAAAAGATTCCCCTTCTTAACCAAAAGAAGCCTAAAGGGACTGCTTATGGAGATTACGGTTCCCAGGTATGACTGAGAAACCACCAACTCTACACTATTTTCTCCAGTGGCTCCGACACACATCCCTATGGCATTCCAAACACACAGAAAATTACAAGCAGACAACTAAAACTATCATTGCAGCAAAAAGTGAAATGAAATTAGGTCTGCCTTGGTTCCCTTAGAATGACAGCAAGCTGTCTTGCAGGTGCTTGGGTTTCTATAAGCATGCTCATTTTAGTCTCCGCTATATTCATTGGTTATGCTAAAAATACTGTATAATGCCACATGTGTGGCATCTTCATGAGGGTATGTGAAGAATATCTAACATGACATAAACTGTTACAAAGAAAAATATCCAAAACATTAATAAACAATGCACACCTACCACAATGAAGAAAATAAAAAATTTATTTTATGCATGGTAATATTATTGGTAGGCATCATACTAAGAAATCGCTTCTGTAGCTGCAAGCTTCCAAGAATGTTAGAGGTACCATAGAGATAAAGCAATTTAAAACAATAATAAGATCTTAAGAGCTCTTATCTGTTCTTACAAAATCCTGACACTAAGAACTTGCCCAGAAGAGGGTGCTAAGGATAAATACATCCTTGAGGTGTTTGGGGTTTGGTTGTGTGTTTTTTTTTTTTTTTAATCAAAAGATACTTAATATTTGACACCAGGAAGCAAAGACTCTCCAGACAGCACTGTTGTGCTACAGAGATATTAATCTTTGCCTGAGGCTTTCAGACACTACCCTCCTAGACCGCCTCTTTACACAAGTACTTTGCCAGAAGTCCTACAAGCAGATCTACTCTCTTCCCACAGTTAGGTTGCAGGAAGAAGCGCCATTATAATTCAGGCATGTATCATATACACACAGCATACTTATTAAAAATAATTTTTTCCATGGAGTCACTTTATCAGATCAGCAACTGGTACCCAAACCAAAATGACACTAAGATACCTCCAGTGAATTAATCCCCAGCCTTCCTCCCTCAGCAATCTCAAGAGAGAAACATTTAGTCAAGTTTTGATGACAAAAGTTAAAAAGCTGCCCAATAAAAATACAATTTATAAAAGAAAACATTCCTCTGAACTGCTTTCACATCATTCTGTATTGTACAGGTCTGGCTTATCGTGCGCTCCCCAGACTGTACAATGCTTGGGTTTGAACTCCCGCTGAGCGATTTAACAAGGTTCTGCACCTTTTGGCTAACGTTAGGGCAAGATGCCAATTTAAACATTTGTATCTCCCAACAGCTCTGGCATAAGTGTCTGAGACTCCTATTCTACCCGCCAGTACTCCTGTACTCTCCCCAAATGCCATCAGCCTTCCTACAGCCCTACTGCACAAATCCCAGGCAAACAGCTTGTTGCCCTTCCTGGCTTCACTCCAGGCTTTCCCACCGGGATGAGTTGCCGGGCCACGCCGGGCTTTGCCTAGTCACGCCAGAGGGAGCTGGTGTGAAAGCTGATGATGGCTGGCATGGACAGGGCCTCAGAAATGCGGTGGAGTTCCACCACCCCTGCAGAAGAGATTTTGTTAACAGGTTTCAGTGCTGCTCTTCCTTTGAAATAACGAGGAGTCAGCATTCCCTACTTCTTGTGTTAACCTTACGAATCCTACCAGGCTCTCGTGCATGAGAAACGCTAAGTTCTGAAGGAATTAGTACAAAATACCCAACTGCTATAAATGCCCACATGCAACTTAGCACTACACATTAACAGACCCCAAACCCGTGTAATTATGCTTAAAATCGATTACACATGTAGAGTGACGACAGCAAACCCAAATCCTTCAAGGGCCTATGACACTTTGGGTCTGACTCCCTTTTGACCATTTTAGGGGATTCGGATCATCAATCCCAGATGAAGGAGTGAAAAACCTGTTAGACCTGTATCCAGTCAGACTTTCTTCTGTACTTGATTCATACAGAGCTCTCCTGTACCAGCACTGGCTTATACCAGATGGAAGTCAGTTTAAGGGCCATTTAACACTGACTTTTAAACATACCTGTTACAGGAAAATGTCTAAATCATTTTGCACAGTACCACTGCAGTCTGAACAATTTTCTTGTTTTCATATTTTCCTGGAGTGGAGTGATTCAGCAGATACATATTATTCTTTTTCTTTTTATCTTTAAGAAAAAAAGAACAGTTTGAGATTTCATCAATGTTATGATTAAAACATTTATATGAGTGTATTACCTAAATGGAAGTGGGAAGAGGAAATAAGCAGAGGCCACATTTTTCCATTTCGCCCACACGTGGTACATACACAAACACTCACCACACCCCCACATCCATCTGCCTTGCACCAAACAGGAGGTAAACACTCCTCCACCTTCTCAGCTATTTGAACAAGTACTCACTAGCCAAAGACTGGTGTCAAAGATGAAATCTGGCAAAAGAGCGTAGTATTTCCCTCCTGCATCTGCTCAAGTACTACTTCCTCCTCTCCTCTATCCCTGGTTAATACTGCTACTGTTTTAACTTCTGGTTGTCAGTAGTTTCTCCTCCTAAAATTCTGCTTTTATCCTTACTGAAACATAAATTCTACTCCACTCCTGCATTTATAGCAGAACAGGTAGTACTGATGTAAAATACAATCATCCTGGAAATTTTGCACATACTTTTCAGATCAAAAACTTTTTCTAGAACTTTTGAAAAAATATATCCAACAACTATCAAAGCTACCAACTGGTGGCATGGTTAACGTGGTTAAAATTATAGGCAATGCCTGAAACAGCCTGAAATTAAACAGTCTGTCTTTAAACTGAGGACTGCAAAGGCACATGCAATACATACCTCATGGATTAAGTAATTAAAATCTGTGCTACTGCTTTTTGTTTTCCTTTTAGAAACACAGATAGATATAGCCCTAGGCTCAGGAAATCCCAAGTAACAAATCACAGAGACAGCAATAGTATTTGGGGAGATACCATTTTATAGCTACTGAATTTTATTTCTCTCTAGGCATTCACTGGAAAGAGAACACCAAGTTAGAAAGACCTTTGATCTAATCCAGTATGACAATTTTTCAAAATATCTGTATTTTTTCTAAAACTTTGAAGTTCAAATGCCTGTGGAAGCTGCCACTGCAGCTAGCTTGACAGTGAAGAACACCATAGAAATGCATCCTTTCAGGAACATGACTGAAATTTAAATGGAACGTACCTTCTGAACAGTATCTTATCAGCACTAATATTGGTAAAACAAGAGCCATAAGAAGGTAAAAAGATATTGATGAAACTTCATTAAATGGTACATATTACCATATATGTTACACATTCATTGATTTTTGTTGCTGATTACTAAAAACTCTCAGTGAAGTACTAGACACTGTCTTTGCTTGTTTTTAAATGAAATACATCAAGGTCTAGACATCTAGAATCCAACATATTTCTTCACACATATAGCATGAATTAAACCACATTGCAGAATTTATTCTACATTTTACTGATGTCACCTTCTGGGACAATCCAAAGTTTTTCCTTATACTGTTACAAAACCAAGCAGACCAGAAGGACCTGCACATTCCACAAGTAACTATTCAGTAGCCAGCAAGTATGTGTGTATGCAATTAACATATTCTTGTTAAATGTTACTGACTTGATTTACAAAATCTTTCCAGCTTCTGCCACATCTCTTTCTCCCTCTCCATTACTTTCCAGCTATTTCCTA